ATTACATAGCAGAAAGCATGTCTGTTGAGGTCCATGAATTACAGGTACAAGACATAAATAAAAAGACAGGATATTGTGTTCTTTGCAGAGGACAGTCCGTTATCGAAATAATTGCAGCCTTTGAGATTGGATGCACTCAAACTGGGATTTTGATTGCAAAAAATAGCACAGCCTTGTTCCAAATAGGTTGCGCTCACATCCTAGAATTTTATATTTTATAGAAGATGGAGGCAAGAGACAATATAAACTTAAACGACTGGCGAGGTTTTGGAGAAATGCAGTCGAAAAATCCACAAAATGTTGATTGCCTAGAGATTACATCTACAGACTCGCCTTAACCTCTGCCAGCTCTGTAGAAGGTCAGCATCATATTTTGACTGACTCCAAAACACCCTTAATCTCCGAAGAAAGTACAGATGCTGGTGTATCGCGGGACACACACAGCGAATGCTCATGCAGCTCACATGATTGAACCCCTAAATGTTTCTAAATTGTTCATGATCGTTCAGTGTTCCAACCTGTGTATCGCTACTTTATCGTTGGCTCCAATTGATCTGGGAGCCCATGAACGTAACATACTACACAATTCTTATCCAAACCTCAAATTAAATGTTATACTTTCAAATGAACGCAACGTATTAAAAGTCTGATGTTGCCAAACACAAAATCTATCCCTGCATCGCCCTCTCTCTGCGCCGCCCTCTGTTTCTTCTTCATCTCCCTCCGTGTCTTCCTCTCACCATCTCCCTCTCTGTTTCTTCTTCTTCTCCCTCTCCATCTCCCTCTCCGTCTCCCTCTCTGTCTCCCTCTCTGTCTCCCTCTCTGTCTCCCTCTCTGTCTCCCTCTCTGTCTCCCTCTCTGTCTCCCTCTGCGTCTCCCTCTGCGTCTCCCTCTGCGTCTCCCTCTCTGTCTCCCTCTCTGTCTCCCTCTCTGCGTCTCCCTCTCTGCGTCTCCCTCTCTGCGTCTCTCTCTCTCTCTGCGTCTCCCTCTCTGCGTCTCCCTCTCTGTTCTCTCTCTTCTCTCTCTCCGTGTCTCCTCTCGCATCTCCCTCTCTGTCTCCCTCTGTTTCTTCTCTTCTCCCTCCGCTCCTCTCATCTCTCTGTCTCCTCTCTGTCTCCCTCTCTGTCTCCCTCTCTGTCTCCCTGTCTCTCTCTCTGTCTCCCTCTCTCTCCCTCTCTGCGTCTCCCTCTCTGTCTCCTCTCTGCGTCTCCCTCTCTGCGTCTCCCTCTCTGCGTCCCCCTCTCTGCGTCGCCCTCTCTGTTTCTTCTTCTTCTCCCTCCGTGTCTCCCTCTCGCCATCTCCCTCTCTGTCTCCCTCTCTGTCTCCCTCTCTGTTTCTTCTTCTTCTCCCTCCGTGTCTCCCTCTCTCTCCTCTCTCTCCTCTCCCTCTCTGTCTCCCTCTCTGTCTCCCTCTGTCTCTCTCTGTCTTCTCTCTCTCTCTGTCTCTCTCTCTCTCTGTCTCCTTCTCCCTCTCTCGTCTCCTCTCTGCTCTCCCTCTGCGTCTCCCTCTCTGCGTCTCCCTCTCTGCTCTCCCTCTCTTCTCTCTTCTGCATCTCCCTCTCTCTCTGTCTCCTCTCTCTGTCTTCCTCTCTCCGTGTCTCCCTCTCTGTCTCCCTCTCTGTCTCCCTCTCTGCGTCTCCCTCTCTGCGTCTCCCTCTCTGCGTCTCCCTCTCTGCGTCTCCCTCTCTCCCTCTCGCCATCTCCCTCTCGCCATCTCCCTCTCCCTCTCCCTCTGTTTCTCCCTCTGTCTTCTTTCTCTGTCTCCCTCTCTGTCTCCCTCTCTGTCTCGTCTCCCTCTCTGCGTCTCCCTCTCTGCGTCTCCCTCTCTGCGTCTCCCTCTCTCTGCGTCTCCCTCTCTCTGCGTCTCCCTCTCTCTGCATCTGCTTCCCTGCGTCGTCTCCCTCCTCTCTCTGTTTCTTCTTTTTCTCCCTCTCTGTGTCTCCTTCCCTCTCCCTCTGTGTCTCCATCTCCCTGTCTGCCCCCCTCTCTCCATTTCTTCTTTTTCTCCCTCTGCATCTCCCTCTCTTCTGTGTCTGCTTTTTCTTTCTCCGTGTCTCCCTCTCTCCATCTCTCCCCCTCTTCTCAGTCTTCCACTCTCCATCTCTCCATCTCTCCATCTCTCCCTCTCTTCTCCATCTCCCTCTCTGCTTTCCTCTGTCTCAGTCTCCCTCTTGCTCCCCTTCTCTCCAAAAAAACTCAAAATTGAACCAGTGTGATTCCTGTCTCGGTCTCCTCTCCCTGTCTTCCTCCCTCTCTTCTCTCTCCCTCTCTCCTTGTCTTCCCGTCTCCCTTCGTCTCTCTTCCTCTCTCCTTCTCTGTCAGCCTAAAAAAAACTCCAAATTGAACCGTGTAGTCCAGTGCGATCCTTCTTGCTCAGAGCTATAACCTCGGTGGGGGCCTGGCTCCACATTGGCTTTGGGAAATGGAATAATGAATTCGAAAGGGCGCGACGAGGAGCCAAAAGTAGCGAGGGAGAACGGAGGAACTAGAATTAACGACAAAAAGAAACACCGCCAATGTGCTAAAACTGACCTCATCTGACACTGATTCTACTCCAATAATTCCATAAGAGAGTGAATTTGTTGGTGCTTTAACCTCCACTGACGCATAAAATCATATCATTTTTTAAACTCTATTCTTGCAGCCATGGCAAAAAAGTGCAGTTTCCTCTGTTGCCCGGGGTGACTGCAGCCCTCTGGTCCTTCTGTGTCCCATTTGTGGAAAACCGAAAAGCAGCCGTTTCACAGAAGACGAGAGAGAGACACAGGAACAGGTGGAAATGAACAAGACAGAAGACAAGTCGACTGCATCAAGTAAGAAAGTTCAAAAGTGCCAATGTGGATAATATGTTTCTCAAAACGACACAACCCCACACTGATTGCAAGTTGGAGATTTGGAGAGAGCAGCAGAGGTAGTAAAGTAGACAAAACTATTTCTCTTGCCAATAAAATAGTATCCCTTATTATTTTAAAGCAGCACTGACATTAAATATTGAGTAACTTCACTATACAGAGACAAACAAATCTCTAGTGTGACTTAAATCCATGTGTCACCCCACCCTCTGCAGCTAATTCAGACGTTTGCCAATTGATTCCCACTTCTGTAAAAACATACTGAAGATGTGTCATTGCATGTTCTCCCTGTGTTTGGGTGGGTTTCCTCTGGTTTTCTAGCTAGGCTGGCACCACCTAGTGCCCCCGCTCAATTTCATTTCTCTCCAGCGACTAGATCAGGAATCAGAATACACTAGACCAGGCATGTCCAAACTATGGCACGGGGGCCAAATGCTGCCCTCAGACAAATTTTTCTTGGCCCTCAGACCTCCAGGTGAAATGGCCCAAATTACCTTGCATCAAATAACAATATATTTTTTGCTGCGAGTTTTCTGAAAATCTACCTTGATAAAGCTCATATTTAATATTTAGTGTGTGGTTTTAAGGATCTTAGCAGGAATAAAGGACTGATGGTTCATTCTAATGTGTTAAACATGCATAATTGCACATATTTCATTTATTCACTGTATTGCGCTCCAGTCTACAGCCCTCGATCGGCCCCCTGCTTCATCTGTATTTAGATATGTGGCCCTTGATGAAAAAGTTTGGACACTAGACAGTTTGCAAGAACCCAGGAAGTTGTAGACCGCGCCCCGGCCAATGAATGAAAACCTAAACAAACCTGAGTTGCAATAGCAGACTGCATAAGCTATCCTCCTTTGGACTTCCATCGTCAAATACAAAGTTCGTGTTTTTTATTGCATCTTTAATTCGCAAGTTCATCTCATAGAAATGACAATGATCGCTGACAGACATGTTCACTCTCTGCTTTATTTGCTGTTGTGCCGGCAAATACTTGGACACAACTGAGCGTTTCGACACATTACACACGTCTCAACCTAAGAGGAGAGATCGGTTACATAAAAAAGTACCCACCTATTGTCGAGCGAATGAATCCTAATGCTGCAAGGTCAAACGGTTTCCACAAAGTGAAACCGGCTGATGAATCAGGCTACCAGTTTTCCACATCAACCCAAAATATTCAGCATAAGCAAGATCCTACAGCTAAGGTTCTGACCAATACTGGCAAGACTGAAGTATGGGTCTTATTTAGAATTTATTTACAATTTATCATTACCATTTTTCTATTTTTTACTCCGTTATTATAATATATTGTGATGTGTGAGCTACTGTGTCCAAGTAATTTCCCTTGTGGATCAATAAAGTTTGTCTAAGTGTAAGTCTATGTCAAAATCCAGAGGACAAATTTCCCTACAGGAACAATAAAGCACCTTTCCTTTCCTTTAGCGTGACACTGGCCTTGCCTCCAGTCTCCAACAGTAAATAACATTTTTTAATAGGCCAGTGGTACAATTCATGCAAAGTTCTTGCCTGACCAGACAGTCCCTTCCACATTTTGTTCGAATTCAGAATTTTTTGCCTTTTTAATGTGTAAACATGCTCGGTTTGTGTTATTGACACAAACAGAGCATGTGTCTTTCTGATTGGTTAATCCATCTGTCACTCACGCTCTCTGAAATAAGGGAGACAGGGGCTGCGTCTCATTACTCTTTCTTCGCTCTCTTCTCCTTGATTCCTCTCCATGATCCTCCATTTTTCAGCTGTCTGTCAAATGTGTCATACTGAGAGATGTCCCAAAGAAAACCACGAAAGGAAGGAGGAAACATGAGGGAGGCTTCAGGAGCAGACATCAGAGAAAAGAATCAAACTTTATTGGTCTCAGTGAGGAGTTTATATCCTCTCTCCTCTGTGGGACTTCCTCATCCATTTCCTGCAGAATCGAGGAGAGGAATCAAGAAGAAGGAGGCGAGGAAAGACAAATGAGACACACCCAGGGTCCAGCTCCAGATCCAATCGTCTCTTTATGTTTTTTTTATCTTTACACTGGAGTCGATGGAGCCGGAAGCGCCCCCATGCTCGCTTCTTATGTCCACTTGCATATAAGCTACAGGCCTAACCCTACATGAGCGTGTGAGCAGAGCAGTACCTCCTCAGACAGCTGCGAGTAGTGCGAGTCTGCAGTGGCCAGGACCAGGACGGGGCTGAAGGAGGGGACATCCTGCAGCAGAGAGAGGAAGGTGCTTCTCACGGTGTCACTCACAGTTTCCCACCACTCCGAGATGTGAGGCATAAACACCACACTGGGCATGCTCCGGCACGCCTCTCGGAAAACCTGGAACACGAACACCAAACGAAGGTAAACTCTCACATACACGGACGTAGAGATGTGCAATGTTTATTTTGTGAAGATTAAACGGCCTATATTATGCTATCTTCTGATCTCTGTTATGTTGTTTCCTCTTCACAAACAGACCTGGAGTTGTGTTTTGTTTCATTCATACATGTTTAGCACACAAATCCTGCAGATTTAGGCAGAGTTCTTCTCTCACACTGAAAACACTCCATCCTTTACCTGAGCGCAGGACTCCTCGGGGGTCTTGGCGCTGATGGAGTAGAGGGTGGGCAGGTCCAGCCGGTGCACGGGGAGTTTGTCCAGGTGGTGCAGCAGAGCGGGGGCCAGGTGAGAGCTCTGACCTGAACCTGAGGGGCCTGTGAGGAGGAGACGAGGTCGATACGCTGTGGGGCGCTGGAGTGCTGAGCTGGAAAAGAAAGGGAAGATTTAGCTTCAACAACAAAAAAGAATTCTCAAATGAAGTATTGTTTTGTTTTTGTCACTATGTGGCATCTTTAACCTTTAAAAAATCTACAAAAAATTATGAAAAAAAAGAAAAAGAATCTGATCTGTGGTGGAAGGTAACAAAGTACAAAAATAAGTACAATACTTAAGTAAAGTACACATACCTGAAATTTGTACTTAAGTCAGTTTTTAAGTCGATATTTTTTACTTTTACTTCACTAGATTTGAAAACGTGTATCTGTACTTTCTAATCCACTACATTTTAGATCTGGACTGAAAAGCAAAAAGTACTTTTCTTTATGGTTTGAGACCTGATGAGTTTATTTTTTTATCACATTTATTTATTTATTTTTGCTTATGTAACAAAAAATTTAGTACTTTATTCACAACTTCATTTTAAGGACAACTGACCACTCAAATTACGCACTATTTTGTTTGAAATTGTTAATCACTGTAGCAACGGTCCTAACATTTCATCATCCTGAAACCGATGAATAAACAGGAAGTTGAATTGGATGACAAACATGACCTTAAAACGTCACAGGATCTGTGAGACAGAATTTGCACAACAAGAGCCTGCACTGTTTTCACCAGGGTCGAGTCTCATACACATCATTCATATACATTTTAGTTTAAAGTTTCAACTTGAATCATGTTTTTCTATGAACGACCTTGGTGTGTATAAACAGCCCCAGCAAAGGTGTTTTTGAGGAGCATCAAACTGGTCTCATCACAAACAAGAACAATAGAAGTACAGAGGGAAGAGGAGGTTCAGTCATACGGTTTGGGGGTGACAGCGCGACGCCATCTTTAAAATGCCAATCTTTCACCTCCACCTTGGCTGTGCGGAGCTGCTGGTGAGTTTTCATCTTATGCTAAATAAAAACTGCATCTTTCAGACTTTATTCTTCTGTATTTATTCTCAGGACATTATTAATTCTTAAAGGTGCACTGAGTAACTATTCTGGTAGGTTGTCTGCAATATGCTTGTCGCCATGGAGATGTTGTTGCTTTGTCTGAAATGTCCGGGTATGGCATTAAACATATCAATCTCGCATTTACTCAATAACGAGGGTTTTTATGGACTTAAAAGCCTCTCCACAGATCTGACATCTAACTTAGCCCTGTGGCACCACCTGGTGTCTCTGTAGAGGTAAACAAGTGTAATGCCATACTGTGGTACTTTTCAGGCAACATCTCCATTGAGACAAGCTGGTGATAGACCCTCCAACAGACAAGTTGCACAGTGCACCTCTAAAGCCGTACTGTTTAATTTTACTGGTGGAGGAGATGCTTTTATCTTGTCTCTATCCATAGGTTTCAGAATAATGAAAAATGTTAATGTCTTAATTTAAGACAATATACAATAACTTTCAATTGAGGAAAAAGTTCTCAAAATGTCACACAAGGAAGCCAAACCCCATAAATAAAAACACTTTGCCTGGAATATTCCACAGTACAGCATTCATGTCATCAGAGACAAGCAGCTGGACAAGGTGGTGTAGAAAAGTGACCCTTCTTACAGGAACAATGCATGTTTTTCAGTGTATCTTTGAGCAAAAATTGTTATGAGAAAAAGATTTAATGCCATATTGTGGAATGTTCCAGGAATATAGACAAGCAGATAGTGGACTCCAACAAAAAAGAGTCATAGTGCATCTTTACGCTGTGCATTATAATTCAAAGTGATTGCAGTTTAGACCTGGTTTAGTCAGCATTTAATACTGGTTTATGCACTGGTTTTGGTCAGAGTTTAGTTCTACAAAAGCCAGATATTTTAAAGGGTAGTATTTGGAGTGAAAACTTTAAAAAGGTCATATATAATTTATAAAAATGAATTTCCTTTGGGATCAATAAAGTATGATCTCTGTCTCTCTCCTTGTCTCTCTCTCCTTGTCTCTCTCTCCTTGTCTCTCTCTCCTTGTCTCTCTCTCCTTGTCTCTCTCTCCTTGTCTCTCTCTCTCTGCGTCTCTCTCTGCGTCTCTCTCTGCGTCTCTCTCTGCGTCTCTCTCTGCGTCTCTCTCTGCGTCTCTCTCTGCGTCTCTCTCTCTCTCTGCGTCTCTCTCTCTCTCTCTGCGTCTCTCTCTGCGTCTCTCTCTCTCTCTGCGTCTCTCTCTCTCTGCGTCTCTCTCTCTCTGCGTCTCTCTCTCTCGTCTCTCTCTCTCTCTGCGTCTCTCTCTCTCTCTCTGCGTCTCTCTCTCTCTCTCTGCGTCTCTCTCTCTCTCTCTCTGCGTCTCTCTCTCTCTCTCTCTCTCTCTGCGTCTCTCTCTGTATCTCTTACACAAAACTGACAAGTGAGATTTAAGTCATGTTAGAATGTCGTTAGCTCCTGAAAAACACACCCGGAGTTGTGTTTTGTTTAAATCTGCGGGGTTCATGTGTTAAACGTGTGACAGAAACAACAACACAACTCCAGGTCTGTTTGTTTAACTGAACATACTAGTAAACCTACTTGGAGAAGTGTAGAAAGGGTCTGTGCGCTGCAGAGGGGGAGAGGGGGCTGTTGGGAGCCACCTGGAGGTCATAGATGGAAGTGGAGCCTTCATCATTGTCTTCATCGCTGTACAAGTCCTCTTCAAGAAGATGATTGTCAACGCCTGGAGGAAAATAAGAACAGAGCTTAAAGGTGCACTGTGTAACTCTTCCTGTTTGTTTCCATGGAGATGTTAATGCTTTGGTTTTAAACAAATCTGACTTGCATTTATTCATCTACAGGTGTTATTTATTGCTTAAAAATATCTTTAAAAACATGCATTCGTAGTGTGAGCGGTGTTACCTCTCAACAAATCTAACCTGTAATTTAGCTTGCAAGTCTCCGCGGAGATTCTTATGTTTATGACCATAATGTGGAACTTTCTAGGCACATCTCCATGGAGACAAGCAGATGACAGACAAGATACACAGAGCACCTTTGACTTACAGTATTTATCATGACAGCCCTACACAGTTTATACACTTCTGGGTTAATATATGAAATTAAAGTAATCTGCTCCTTCTGAAAATTCACTGCGTTTTTAAATCCAGCTGTTACTCCCTCAGAACAGCAGGACATAAACAACACAAGTGGGTGGATAGAGCCTCATTAAAATTGTATTATAGTATGTGCAGAAGTATTGGAACTATCCATGGGTTGAATCATTATCTTTGTTTTTAATTGTGTGTTTCACTCTGAGATTTATTGTACATCTTTTTAATTACAGTCCTGGCCATTTAGAAAAGGGGTAAGTTAATGGGATAATTCAACTTTGGGGTTTTTGTGTCAGAGGCGTTAGAGTCTTATTATCACTGGATTATTGTACTTAAAAATTTGCTATCATTAGGGTTGTCAGAAGTATTAAAAATCAGCAGTTACTTAAAGCCAAAGAATCGACATCAGTATTGAAACAGAAAAAACAGGTATCGGTACTAAAAAGTCTGTGTTTTCATATTATGTTTTGTCTGTGTGAAAGTGTGTGTGTGTGTGAATGCTGTACACTCCAGGCTTCTCAAACCACTTTTTCCAATGTGTTTTTTATACTGCAAATGGCAAATAAACTGAACTGAACTCCAGCTCCCTACCGTGTGTGTTGTCCCTGTCAGAAGACTGAGCATGGGGGAAGACTCGAAGCAGAGCTTTAAGCACCAGAGAGAAGGAGTTTGCCAGCAGGGGGCGCAGTGCTGGAGAGAGGGCTCGTCCTGCTGGGGCCAGAGCTCTCTGTGAGGCCGGGACGATGTTCCTCATGGCTCTGCTGAAGTCTCCAGAGGCCAGCACGATGGAGGAGACGTCCAGCTGCAGTTTGACGCTGCTGCCGTAGATCTGAGGGTAACGGCGCCTTAAGGCCACCAGGGCGGCCTCGGTGCAAAGTGCTTTAATGTCTGCCCCACAGTAGCCTAGAAGATGATAATGGATATGTTTACATGCAGACCAGAATCTGATTATTATCTCTACAGTTTTCAGATTATTGAAATGTCAGTTACATCTACAAAGGAAATTGTGAATTGTGTTACTCTTTAGAGAGAGAGAGAGAGAGAGAGAGAGAGAGAGAGAGAGAGAGAAAACACAACATCAAATGCTTTCTGGTGTTCATGATCTTACCCACACATTTTTCAGCAAGTTCATCTACAAATGGCTCAGATAGTTTGGGATTCCAGTCCCTCGTGTGGATCTGCAAAATGTGCTTTCGGGCCTAAAAAGACAAAAATAAAAATATAAAACATCATCAACAGGAGAAAAAGAAAGGCAGATATAACCAGCAAAGACACTATGTTCAGAAAATGTATATTGGAAGCATTTATGTGTTTTTATATATGCGGATACAAGCAGATAGAGGGTGAGGAGCTCAGTCACACAAGAGGAGCTTAAAGTAGAGCCACTGCTCCTCCACTTAAAGAGGAGCAGCTGAGACGTCTCCTGGAGAGGTGTTCATGTCCCACAGGGAAGAGGTCCAGGGGAAGACCAGGACCCCTGGAGTCTGGGAGTCCGGGAGTCCGTGCTTTAGACAGCTGCCCCCACACAGGAAGAAAATGTATGGACGGGAATGGGAACTAATAACTATGTTAATAAAGTGGACAGATTTAAACTATAATAACTGCACAGAAATACAACATGGAGAGCACTCATATTAAACGCCCTGCAAGCATTTCTATTCATTTCACCATCACTACAGGACTCCACTTTGAACAGTCCACAAAAGAAGTCTCTCTCTCCAGTATCCTCCCTTCTCCCTCCTCCTTCTCCTCTCTCCTCTTCCACCTCCTCTCCTTCCTCCTCCTCAGTCTCATATTTGCCGCTCACACTCGGCCTCCACAGTGTACACATGTAACAGACAGTGTGGTAGTCAGACTTCACAGCTGGGTCTGTTGGGCAGCAGTTGTATACTGATTAGACTTTCATTACCAGAGTTCCCACTGAGAGGACAGACGCCACGGAAGCCACTGAAACTCTGAAGTTCAGCAGACATTTACTCCCACCATAAAAGCAGAAGAAGCAGCAGCAGTATCTCTCCGTGCTATACATTATATTCACATTTAAGTCTTTTGTTTTTATTTCTAGTGGTGGATGGATGCAGGGGTGGTTAATGTGGCAAGAGGAAGAATGTGGCAATCTCATACTGAATGATTTCATGATTTCACATTTAGTTGTATTGATATTTTGAGCCTCATGTTATCAACATTCCCTGGGGGTAAGATTCCAGCTGTAAGCACTGCTCTGTTTGAAGCTTGTTAGACTTTAATCTGAGTTTCATCTTAACTCAATCTAACCAGAAAGAGTGGAGTGGATTCAGTTGGATCTACAATAGGTGAGATATTTTGTGCTGTTACACAAGTCAGTCTCAACATTACAGTAACCAACTAGATCGCTTTAGCCAACAGTTTATCAGTTAATCTCACCTTTTTGTTGAAAATCAAACACCTAAACAGGACCATGAACGCTCGGACTGATCGCAGACTCCTTAAAATGCAGTGTTTAAATCCATTTTGTATTTTTTCTCGAGTTTCTTAACATCTTTTTGACAGAGTTTGCTAATGTATCATCTTTGTAACTCCTAAACAATTAACAACATTTATTTCAATATTAATTTCATGAACATAAACGAGACAGTGCAGGCTTCACATCAGCCATCTACTGAAAATAAAATCAACATACAGATGGTAGCTTTAATGTCATGAGCATAAACAAGACATACTTCCGTGTAACTTTTCTGCCACCTGCCACGCATTCCCATTACATTTCTCAACATATGTCCTCTAACTTGCCAATGTCACCTTCTTGCTGCCATGAAGATAAACAATTTTAATACCAAAAAGTGCAACATTCCCAGGCAAATCCTCATGTCATGCTGCATTGTTATTCCTATCTGCTCCATGTCTTCCAGTTCAGTCCATGTCTACTCTCCCCATGTCATTTTGAATTGTGTGTTTTTAATGTGCGGACGGGGTGACAGGTCCAATTTCGATTCCTTTGTATGTCCAGTACATGTGAAGAAATTGACAAGAAAGGCTGTTATTCATTCATTCAAATTCAAAGCAATAACAGCTCCATCTTTAACACAAACACAAATGTTCAATTTCTACAAAGTTTGAACTGTGCTCCAAACCACAAGCTTTTACTGCCACAAAATTTGATGTAGACCTCTCAGTTAGAACAACACAAGTTGATCACTGACATAATATAATGATACAATTGGATCAGCTTGGATTAAATGTATCTAGGTTTGTCATGGTAACATATTTTGAAGTTACAGAGAAATATTCCAATATACAACAATATTAAAAAATACTTTATGCCACTGACACAAAGCAGGATAATCCCAGTAAACCATTTTTAAATAGACAGTAACATTAAAAAGCCTGAGCTGCAACCAAAAAATGGCAGAATTAATTGATAATTAGCCATTCTTAATAGTTATCTATGGTATACTCTACTGCTCAAATCTGACATTATTGCAGAAAAATGGCAAGGAATCCCCACTATTGCCAAGAAAAACAGACAAAATCAGAATATGTCCACTTTAAAAACCACATTCTATGGACTATTTGGTTGATGTAATTTTTGAGACATTCACAAATGAAATACAGCAAAGAATAAAACTAAAACAGCTGGACTTAGTTTAGAAACCACCTACGGATACATGGAGTGGGTGGTGCGGTCTGGTGTAGTCGGGTCTAGTTTTATTCTTTCATATATTCCATGAATTTATTCTCCTTGTGGAATCAAAACTGGTATTGAGTATCAAGCACAGACTGTATAAAGAAGTGGACTAAGGGAATGTGACGTCATAGCATTTGGCTCCAGGCTGTGGTTATAGGAGTAAATCTGGAGTCAGTTCCATATTAGGAATTTATTTATGGACAAAATAGCAAAATAAAAACCCCAGGATAATGTAGAGCAGGTTAATACGGCCATTTTAATACCAAAATAATGAGGCTCACTGCAGACAGAGGTGACAGTTTTTCAATGTAAAGTCAATTGGAACCAGCGTCGATGGAGCCAGAAGTGCCCCCATGCTCACTTCCTATATGGAACAATGAGGCTAGAAGGTTAACCATGTTCATTTGTATCCTATATACAGTCTATGGCTATGTCTCATTTCTCTTTCCTCGCTTCCTTCTCCTTGATTCCTCTCCTTGTTTCTGCAGGAAATGGGTGAGGAAGTCCCACAGAGGAGACACAGCGAGGAGAGAGGATCTAAACTCCACACTGAGACCATTAAAGTTTGATTCTTTTCGTTGATGTCTGCTCTTGAAGCCTTTCTCACGTTTCCTCCTTCCTTCTGTGGTTTTCTTTGGGACATCGCTTAATATGACACATTTGATTGACAGCTGAAAAATGGAATATTGAGGAGAGGAATCAAGGAGAAGGACGCTAGGAAAGAGAAATGAGACTCAGCTTATGAGCGTAACCTAAAATCAAGTACGTGCGAATTTCAAAACATGTAGTAGTGTATCTTAGTTCAGACTTTTACATCCAAAAAAGACATTTATTTACACAGACCTTGACATAGTGTGACAGTTGTGTCCGTATCTGTGCCGTTACCTTCTTGTCCGGCAAGTTAAAGAGAAATTCTCGGTCAAAGCGTCCGGGCCTCCTGAGCGCTGGGTCGATAGAGTCAAGTCTGTTTGTAGCACCAATGACGACTATCTCCCCTCTGCTGTCCAGCCCATCCATCAGAGCCAGCAGTGTGGACACTATAGAACTGACCAGACAGAACACGATTACATGTACGCACTTGAAAATAATGTTAATGTAAAAAGATGAAATCACAATTGAGTTAAAATCCCGTTTGAATGGATACTGTCTGGATCATTACTGCCAAGGACTACAGATGGAAAATAGACATTATTTTCTGCCATAATGATGACCTATGTTCTAATGTTGTTTCTTCATCAAAAACAGAACTGGAGTTGTGTTTAGTTTCATTCACATGTTTAACACACAAATGCTAATCCACCTCATGATGTGATAATAGAGGAAGTGCTCCATTGTGTTTTTAAACTTCATACACCTTCACTCGAATCATTTGGATCATTGCAGTCCTGGTATTGCCAATCACTACTGAACTATGTATGTAAAAGGTAGATGTTAACTTTAAAAAAAAAAAAAAAAAACACGTCAAGTCATCACAAGGTGGAACAGAGCATTTTGAGCTTTGGAGCAGTAGACAGACCAATGATACGGGGTTACTCAAACATGTGTGAATGAAACACAACTCCAAATATGTTTTTGATGATGTAACAACATTCTCACAAGCTCCCAAGAGTCAATTTTGCATAACATAGAACCTTTAACATGCATTGTCACTTAATCTGTTCACTAAATCTTGAGTATTGCCAAATATTGGTCAGCCACAGCATTAGGTCAAATATCAGATATCGGTATCGACCCATGCTTAATCCTAGATACACTTATAGAAGGGTCTATTGTGACTCTCGTGCTTTGGGGTTATTGTGTCAATCAGTTTCAATATTAAAATGTATCATGGCATTTTCTGTAGCTGTGCATCGCTTTTAATTTTTTATTGTGAAAAGACTACCGAATAAACAAATGCGAAGTACAATAGAACTTTCAGTTTTTACATAAAATACTAATTCTAACCTTAAGCCTAATATGAATAATGCATGTGCCTTGATGAGTTCTAAAAGGATAAGCACTAGTAGCTGACGAATACATAAATATCAATGTACTGTATATGCAAAGCAATCAAACTAACTGGTACCACCATTTAGAAATCAGTGGAGCAGCACCCCCCAGTGGCTAGAAAAGTGATTGCAACTTATATCTTACTAACAGAAGAACTGAAGGATTGCAGAGAGCAAGTAAACATACACTTTTATACAAAACATAACCTTCTATAGGGAATGCTCAATAACAATGCATGTTTTTTCCCTCTTCTGTTACCACATTCAATTTGAAAGGCAAGTATCACAAAAGGTTTATTTGTGCTCTACTTCCTGTAATTTTCAACATATTTTTCACAAATTGCTTCTCAGTTGGTGTAAAACTATAACTTATATTTACAACAGGTATTACAGCACCAAATATACACTTTAATGCTTTATTAATAAAAGCGTTACCCTCTACATTCATGTAAATTCCACAGTAGAAACAGAGACAATCTTACCTGTGTATCTGATCTTGTCTGCTCGAACGCACTGGGGCCAAACCATCAATTTCATCAAAAAAGATAATTGACGGCCTCATCAGATACGCCTGTTCAAACAAAAGTAATAATTATAACAAACATGTATTGTCACTCTCATAACACATGGTTCTTAAAGGGCCCATATCACGCCATTGTCTGATCTCTGTTATAATGTAGTTTCCTCATCACAGACACACCTAGAGCTGCGTTTTGTTTCATTCACATGTTTAACACACAAATGCTGCAGATTTAGGCTGAGCTCTTCTCTTAAACAGAAAACACTCTGTTCCACTCTGTCTGTGATGTCATGTGGTAATACAGGAAGTGCTTCACTGTGTTTCTAAACTCCAATCTTTACTGAACTAAAGGTAAAAGCTGTTAACTTGAAAACTACCACTACATGACATCATAAGGTGGAACAGAGCATTTTGAGTCCCTGAGACTAATAATGGATTACTCAAACATGTGTGAATGAAACAAAACACAACTCCAGGTTTGTTTTTGAAGAGGTAACAACATTATAACATGACTTAAAGCTCACAAGACTCAATTTTCCATAATATAAGATCTTTAAATATGGCTGCTGATCAAAATTGATCTGGTGGGTGTACATGAAAGCATTAAGGAGCTTCATAGATCTATAAAAGGATATTTTGAGAGTTGAAGTTTGATAGGATTTGCAAGATTACATTAACTAATGAAACTTTTTAAGGAGAAACATTACAGCTACTGTATTTGATTTACATTACATACCATAATTCATGTAATAATACAATCTATAATAAAAACAGCTACTTTTTCATGTACTATTAGATATTTGTTTTATGGTTTTATTATGTGATATTTCTTGTTGTAAAGCACTTGCAACTTGTTACGATTTTAAATGTGCAATATAAATAAAATGACTTGACTTGGCAAACAAACTGTAGCCTCAGCTTAGTTTGTCAAATTAAAACAAAGTTTAGTTTTCAGAAAACACATGTTTACACACTGATTAAAATAAACTTATCCAACATTGAATCAGTTTTGTGATTTATTGTGCAGTCCAACAACATTATAAATTCAAAAAGGACAATTTAGTCCATTTAGCCTAATCCAGGACCTTTCCATGTTAATCTTTTTAAGTGTTTCCAAATGTTCTCACCTGATCAAACAGAAGCCGTAGTTGACGCTCAGACTCGCCAACCCACTTGCTGAGACAGTCTGCTCCTTTCCTCATGAAAAAAGAAACCTTCCGGTCACCCTGGCAACACTCATTGGCCAGAGCTCGAGCCACCAGGGTCTTTCCTGTTCCAGGGGGGCCGTAGAACAAACAGCCTCTGAGGAAAGAAGAGCAGATGTCTCAGTCACTAAGGTATTAAAAAGGAACTGTGTAACTTTTGGTGGAGTCTCAGTCATCATCTTATTTCCATGGAGCCGTTGCCTGTAATGTTCCACAGTACGGCATTACACTTATTTATCTCTACAGAAAGAGCAGGTGATGCCACAGGGCCATAGGGTTACATGTCAGATCTGGGGAGATGCGAGCCCACTCACAGTAAGAATGCAAGTTTGTTTGTCAATAAAAATTTACATTATTGAGTAAATGCTAAATGGATACATTTAATGCTATAGTGGGAAATTACAAGATTGTCATTTGCATACAACTATAGGTGACTGATACTGGCAAAAATATAAACTACCATCGGAAAGTCAATAGGTAATGCAAAAGCAACTTTGACTTAGAACTGTTTAAAAAAATCTGTAGATACCAAGATAAAAAAGCTGGTATTGAAAGTAATTTGAGCAAGTATTGGTAGTGAAAAGAACAAAGAATAAAGAATATATTAATACCAACATTGATATCACGATTATGGAAGGCTTCATATGTCGTACCAAGCCCTTTTTCTCAGTATAAAACTCAGTGTGTAGCTTCAGTCTCACCTGGGCGGCTGGATTTTGAACTTCTCAAAAACTTCTGGGTAAAGCAACGGGAACACCACCATCTCCTTTAGTGACTGAATATGATCCCTGAGACCGCCCACACTGTCAAACTTCACCTAGAAACATAAAACATAAAAAAATCAAACCAATCAAAAATTAAAGAGCCCATATTACACCATTTTCTGATCCACCCAGAATCATTTGGATGATTTCAGTCCTGGAATTGCCCACTCTTTACTGAACTAAAGGGAGCTATTAACTTGGAAACTGGTAACTGGCAAGTTGGAATACAGCATTTAGAGCTTTGGAGCTGCAGACAGACTAATAATAAAGGATTACTCAAACATGTGTGAATGAAACAAAACACAACTCCAGATCTGTTTTAGGAGGTAAAAACATTATAAGATGAGTCAATTCTGCATAATATAGGAGCTTTAAAACTACATTATACATTATAAACTTACCGTGGTGTCAAGGTTCATGGGGTCCACATCAGCCAAACTTGCCCCAACCTTGGCTCGATCTCGGAGGACTCCGCTGGCCAAATCCTCTGCCGTCAGATTCATGGGCAAACATCTGAGAAACAAGGGGTCAAAATGATCAACTTACTTATGGATTAAAGAGCAAGTATCAGGAGATTTATTCAACATAAGTATAACAAAAGGTAAAATCCGCCTGTCCTTCGATTCTTTGGGTTTTATACACAGATAAGCAGGACTTGTATAGATGTATCAAAAAGAGATGGAGCCAAGGACAGAGCTGGAGGCGTCCTTGGTTTGGCTGTGCATGAGGTGAAAGTTCCTAACATTAATCTTTTGAAATACGACAAAGGGCATTGTAAAAAAAAAAAAAAAGAAAAAAGAAAAGTTATATTTCAACAATGCTGTACAATGGCTTCAGATGGAGGGCAAGGCCTATATAACACTATAGAAGTTTCACTGCTTTTGAAAGAAATATAAAAGGTGCAGTGCGTAACATTTCTAGTGGAGGGTCCAAAACCTGTTTGTCTCCATGGAAATGTTATTGCTTTGTCTAGAATGTTCTACAATCTTGATTAAACCCATCTATCACAAGAAACACATTCTAATTCAGATCTGTGGCCCCTATTCACAGAAGGAGATATTGTATTTTTGATCAATAGAAACACCTGCAAATGAATAAATGTTAGATGGATATGTTTAATGTCATATCATGGAATATTCTAGGCAAAACAATATCACCACCATAGTACGTAGCGGACCCTCAGAAAAGCTTCGCAGTGCACCTTTAAGTTATGATCATTCAATGTGAGACTTATTTCTGTTATCTCTTCTGGCTTAAAGTGCTTTCAACTGACGACAATCACATCTTTTGGGTTGAATAATGGCACAACCTTTTCAAGCTAATATGAAAAAACAAATCTGACTTTTGTTTAATTGTGCTCACAGATAAGATCTCGAACTTAATGACCGTTTTTTCCTTCATGTGGATAATTACCGTAATTACAGAGATATTAACCACAAATCATGGCAATAAATCTGCAATCTGACATTTAAACAGCAGATTCCCCCACAGAACTCTGACCGGTCCTCCAGCCCAATATTAAAGCTACACTACGTTACTTTTTCTGGTGGAGCGTCTGCCACATAAAACAAAATTTTACTTATCTATAAAGGTGCAAATAACTTAACTTAATGCCATATTGTTAGAGATGTAACAATAACCGAAATATCGTATCATCAAAGTTCTCACAATAATATCGTGGACCATCACAATATATCGAATTACAAGTTATGGTGCAGCAGTAGCTTAAAAAAAAAAAGACAGAGGGAACTACATAGACCATGATCCTTTGCTCCATTTCAGTGTAGACTACAAAAAGAAATAACAGTTCTAGCGCACTTTTAAGTTTTAGTTCTTCGGATTAAATCTTGTCAAGGCATTTTAAGAGGAAAAAGTAGCATATTCACAGTTTTGTTCACCTAGACAAAATATTGCAATAAATATCGTACTGAGAGATTTGGATATTGTTACAGTTCTCATCGTGAGCCTCCCCACCATATTGTGAGCTTTCCCACGATATCACAATAAATATCGTACAGTGAGGTTCAAACCGTGATGATATCGTATCGTGAGACTTGGATATCGTTCCACCCCTACATATTGTGGAAAATTCCAGGCAAAGATCTCCATGCAGATATCAGGACAGGCAGACCCACCACAACAGATACATAGTGCATCTTTAAACTACAGGGATTATAGAATTTTGTGTAGGCCTGTCACAATATTTACTATATCGACTGTAATATGCTGTTCCAGGTTTCATCTATTGAATGATATTTCTGGCAATAATGGGGAGATTTTTGTTATTTTAGTTGTAAAGCGGAAAGATCTGAGCTGTAGAGGGTTGAATAAATCACTTCCGTGGCTAATTATTTTTCATTCTGCTATTTATTTGTTGTAGCTCAGGCCTTTTAATGAAACTGTCAGTTAAAACAATGGTTTACTTGGATTATTCTGCATTATAAAGTAGTTTCAATATCATCGTTTTTCGTTACATTATTATCTGTATATATTATGTCAAGCTTAATATTGTGATGTCACGTGAAGGCAACCTATTGTTTCATTCCCACCAGGCGTGCCACCATAATTACAATATGGACTACTTATCATTCAATATATGAAAGCTGGAGCAGTATCAGTGCGGCTCAGTATATATTGTGGGGACTTTTCCTTTGCAATAATGGCCACATATTTGTTAGAATACGGTAATATTTGACCTGTAGATGGTTAAATAAGTGACTTCTGTGGATAATTATTGCGCCATTCTGCTATTCATTTGTTACAGCTCATGCCTTTTAATGATAATGATATCTATTTAAAAATAGTTTTACTGGGATTTTCTTGCTTTGTATTAGTTTTAATATTATTGTTAATCATGTTTTTTCCCTGTAGTGATATATCGTGATTCAAAATTTCTTATTGTGACAGGCCTAATTCCCACACAGCAGAGCCAAAATAAATAGAAAAAAACTAAAAGAAAGAGAGATACAGAGAGAGAGAGAAAGAGAGAAAGCGTTAGAGGGAAAGAGAAAGAAAGAAAAAGAAAAAGAAAAACTCAGCTGTCACCTGTTCCGGGCTCGAGTCATGCTCTTGCTCTTCCTCCTCTCGAAGCGCTCTTCGTCTGATGAAGACGTGGTGTCACTACTGTGAATGGCGTGTTTCTTCACTCTGACGAAGGTGTGAGAAACAGACTCAGTGGGACATAAGCAGCACGCGCACACAAGCACACACACATACAGATACACACACACACACTCACACTCTGTCAAGGCAGGAAAATCTCCCATAACCCCATATAACCCTTTTCTATTAGGACAAGTGTTGCTAATCTCTACTGAACAAATGATAAAAGGAAGGTGCTAACTTCAAAACTATCACTTGATAACATCACAAGGTGGAACAGAGCATTTTAAGATTTGGAGATGTAGACAGACTAATAAAAGATTACTCAAACATGTGTGAATAAAACAAAACAACTCCAGGTCTGATTTTGAGAAGGGAACAACATTATAACATAATTTAAAGTTCACAAGAATCATTTCTGTGTAATTCAGGACCTTTAAAACTACATTATAAAATCTACAAAAAGTGCCGACACACACAGCACTACAGCTCTGACAGAGAGATTTCCTGACAGTGCAGGAAATCTCCAATAACCTCATATAACAATTTTCTATTAAACGTAGTGTTGCCACGATACTAAAATTTCAAACTATTTTGATACTAAGTAATACACTCGATACTCAATACTGATTCATGTACCACAATCATAATAAAAAATACTCTTTATTTAGCCAATTGAATGTGATTTTCACAATTTTCACCACTTTTATATTCCCACGTGGTCTTACATGTGTGTAATCCTCAGTGGTCCAGGTAGGTTCCATAGTAGTCCATGGGCGTACACTAGTCTATGTGCTCTTATACTTGTGGATTATTGTTTTACATTTTAGATATTTCACGTGTAATACTTTATACTAAAACAATAAAACAAACAGAAACTGGTCTGACAGATGAAAATGTACAGCAGAGAACAATGCAAGTTCAAAGAGTGCTGGAGAATACAGGTTACTCACACATGCATAAATCTCTCAATTTTGTGTATCATGTCTCTCCATCTCGTCATAACACACAGGCCTACCAGATGTTGTAATGTCAACTGAAATAAAATAAATTTTATAGAAGTCAAACTAACCTTATATGGCTTATTCTTGCTGCAGATCGGTGAGTATCAAAAAGTGAAGGATTGCTTTGTTTGCGGTTGGCAGGCACTGTGGAATCAAAGAGAAAAATATATATATTATACTATACTCTAAACTTCAAATTGCACTGTGTAACTTTTTCATAGGGTATCCGTCCCTACTTATTTCTATAGATATGCCATTGCTCTACCTGGAATGTTCCACAGTATGACATTATAACAGCCCTACTTTACATTTATTCAGTTACAGGTGGTTTTATCGCTCAAAAAAAACAGCCATTCTGACTGAGCAGGGTAGCCTCTCCACAGATTGGTTTGGTCCAAGAAGACGGAAAGGTTTAATGCTATACTGTGGAATATTCAAGCCAAAGCAATAACATCTCAAGAAAAGCATTTGACAGACCCTGTACCAGGTAAGTTACACCGTGCATCTTTAAAGGTTTATCTTCTTTGAGATAGTCCACAATATAGCATTAAACTTCTCCATCTCCATATAAATAAGTACATGACATCACCAAACCAACTTACAGTTCAGATCTATGTACAGGCAAGCCCACTCAAAGTTCAAATGCATGCTTTTCAGGGCATTTCTGTGCAATAAAACACTGATAATTAAATCAATGCAAGATGGATTACTTTAATGCCATACAGTGGAATATTCTTAACAAAGCAAAAACATCACCATGAGACAAGCAGGTGATAGACAACAATATGATGAACACTGACAAAACCTAAAAGGGAGTGTATGTAAGATTTTGATTGTAGTACCTTTTTTGTAGTCAGCGGTTTTTAAACTTTTCATAACTGGCTTTCCAATTGCTTCTAGGATTTAACCAAACAATATCTAGGCTAACAGTTTCTAAAATAGTACTAAAATATAGACTAAACAAGGGATGAACCTAAACTGAAAAACAAGGCTGAAGCTTCCATATGTTTGTATTTAAAATTGGAGTAAATGCTATGGTATGTTGTATGTAGACTAGTGTTGTCAAGATACTAAAATTTCAATTTCGATTTCCATACTAGTAGAGTAGACTTGATACTCAATACCAGTTCCATTACCAAGATGATAATAAAAAGCACCACAGAATATCATTTTCACATTAATAGTACTTTCTTTTCTATTCCCATGTGGTTTTATATGTGTGTAATCCCTCAGTGGTCAAGTAGGTTCCATATTGGCCCATGTGTGTATACTGTGTATACTAGTTTATTTGCTCTTATACTTGGTCTGATACAGCTCAAGATCAAGCTAAACACATTCAGGAAAGCTTCAGTTCTGTCTTGTGAATGGGACTTTTTTAGTATCAATACCTAATGAGTATCTAGTTTTGACACTTTTATATATAGTTACCGATGGGTGGTGCCTGATATCGCTGCACAGTCTTGCGTTGCCTTAAATTGTACGGTCGGTCGTTTTCCTCTCCAGCTTCTTCTGCTTCATCTCCTTCATCATCTTCATCATCATCCTCTGCATCTTCCTCCTCTTCCTCTTGAGACTCTAAAACCCATAAACAGCAGTATTACAGCACTGAATAGGCCAAACTGAAATGAAATAGTGTTGACTTTTCACTGTGTACAGAGTAAAAGACATCATAATACAGGAATTATTATTAACAATAATAATACAGGAAGTGCTCCATTGTTTTTTTAAACTCCATGCACTTTCACTAGAATCATTTGGATAATTTCAGCTCTGGATTTGCAAATCTCTGCTGAACTTAAGGTAAAAGGTAGCTGTTAACTGAAAACTGAAAATCACAAGGTGGAACAGAGCACTTGAACTTTGGAGATGTAGAAAGAAAAATAATTAAGGGTTACTCATGTGCTCAAAACACCTATGATGTCATGAAACGGAAGTTTTCAAGTTAACAACTATCTTCTACTTCTAGTAAAAGCTAGGGCTGAAATCATCCAAATGATTCTAGTGATGGTGTATGAGTTTAAAAACACAATGGAGCACTTTCCGTATCATCACATGACATCACTAGACGCAACTAGAGTGTTTTCAGTTCTCAGAGAGAAGAACTCAGCTTAAATCTGCAGTGTGTGTGTGTGTGTGTGTGTGTGTGTGTGTGTGTGTGTGTGTGTGTGTGTGTGTAAACATGTGTGAATAAAACAAAACAACTCCACATATGTTTGTGATAAGGAAACAGAAAATAGTGTAATATGGGCCCTTTAAAAGTCTCTATTGTACAATATATGTCTTGAGTGTACCTTCAGTACCATCGTCATCCTCTTCTTCTTGATTTGCTTTGCTCATGGATTTGTGATGAGCGGGCACATACGTACTCCGCCGCATCGACTTCCTGCGTTTCACACGAGAATACATGTCCATATTTTCCTGAAAATCAAAATAATGCATTTCAGTTAAACTGGTTTCATTAGCTGCAAATCAAGGGCTGAAAATCTGACTTCCAGGTCATGAGATAGAAGACGGAGTCAATTAACCAAATTGGTTGTAAATTCTGAACACAGTAACAAAACATGGGTGTAACATTTCCTAAATCAATAACATCATATAATGAACAAATAAGTTTATTAAGAATCTAATGGACGGTCCACCACCTGCTTGTCTACATGGAAATGTTATTGTTTCGCCTAGAACAGGAGTGGGCAAACTTTTTGACTCGTGGGCCACAAAGGGTCCTAAAATTTGACGGAAGGGCTTGACCAGGAGCAGATGGATGGAGTTTTTTGGTAATCCACCTCATAAGAGAAAAAAATAATAATAATAACATGGGATATGTAGAAAACATATCCCATGTTACTGAAATATCCCATAATTGAAAATCATTAGAAAGCATTACAACAAAATATGTGTCTTTCAAGTCCCACGGTATTTATTATTTATTGAAATGATTTTTAAAACACTGAAAATTATTATTATTTTTGCTATTATTCAAGTTTGGCAGGCCAGATTAAAAAGATTAAAGGGATGTATATGGCCCCTGGGCAGTAGTTTGCCCACCCCTGGTCTAGAATGTTCCACAGTAAATATTAAAACCTCTATCATGTAGTGTAGAGGCAGCACTACACTACATTACAGTTCAGATCTGTGGAGAGTGTCGCCCATATTCACAGAAGGAATTAAATTTTTGAGCTATACAAACACCCGTAATGAATAAATGCTAGATGGATACATTTAATGTCATACTATGGAACATTCAAGACAAAGCAATAACATCTATATGAAGACAAAACACATAGGTAAGTCGGGCAAATTAAAAACAGCATGCAGAGTACATTTTAGCAGTTCAAGCTCAAATTTGTCCGTGCTATGTTAATGACGGTGTATTAAGCTCTGGTTAAAAACTCACTTCTTCTGTGTCTCCGTTCCACATGCGAAGTTGTTCCACCTCTCGACTCGAATGCCGAATGTTGCTGATGTTGTCCATTTCCTGGAGGACAGCTTCAGCCGTACTAAAAATATAAAAACGCACGTTTACACCATAGCAACAGTCAAGAGTTGTGAGGTTGTAAAGCTGGTTTATAAGTTCACGTTAATTAATTTGTTCTGTGTTATGTTAACTATATTGATAACAGATGTTTGGATATGAAATTTAAACATGAGCTCTTATTACCAGTACTTGTAAAAAAGACTGAAAAAGGTGTAAAAAGACTGAAGGATTGAACAATAGCTCCTTTACAAATCAGTCTATAAAGTCACATTACCCCATTCATTTATGGTCAGTTTAAGGGTCCATATTGCAGTATTTTATGATCTATGTTATAATGTAGTTTCCTCATCACAAACAGACCTGGACTTGTGTTTTGTTTCATTCACACATGTTTAACACACAAACCCTGCGTATTTAAGCTGTTCTTCTCTCAAAAACACAACACAAGACATTACACCATAGCAACGGCCAAGAGTTGCAAGGTTGTAAAGCTGGTTTATAAGTTCACGTTAATGAATTTGTTCTTCATTATGTTAACTATATTGATATCAGATGTTTGGATATGAAATTTAAACATGAGCTCTTATTACCAGTACTTAGTGATAACTGCGAGCTCTTAATAACAGAGAAATGAGCTATGGTAAGGCAATACACTCCTGCGTGATTGTGGTTTAATCCTGCTCTGACAAACTGCCAACCTGGCAACCCTGTTATATTGTTGTTCAGTGCTTTTCCGTTTACTGTAATGCAAGTTTTTGTTCAAACAGAGACAAAGCTCCACCTATATTTCACCATTCATCCATAAACTGTATAAAGGAGTGGACACTTTGAGTATTTAAGGTTGCCGATCCCTGGTATACACGAGCGCCAGGTTTAAATCCTAGCCTAGAGTTGTGGCGGTGAATTACTTTGCAGCGTACAGACCTCGACGCAGATCCATAAATCAAAAACGACAGCGGCAGTGTGCGTTGAGTCGACACAGAACTATACTTCGCCCTTTAAGGGAGTGTCACGTCTCCCATAGAGTCAAATGAAGCTCATGAGTCTAGCAGTAATAGGAGCGAATTTGGAGCAGAGTTCCATATCAAGAATAAGAATTTATTTATGAACAAATAGGAAAATAAAAATTAAGATGTAAAGCAAGTTAATATGAACTTTTTAAGACCAAAATGACGAGGCTCAATGCAGCACTTACCGTATTTTCCGGGCTATTAGGCGCGGTCTTAAGCCTCCAAAAACGACTGCGTGCCTTATAATCCAGAGCGCCTTTTATATGAATTTACGCGAGTGTTCCAGTACAACTTCAGTAAACAACAAAGCCGCACCACTTGCAGCATTACGGCTACCTTGGTCAGGAGCATCGCAGAGTAATACGTACTCTGATTCCTTCTTTTTCCTGTGGACGAGGAAAAGATTAGCGACTGGCTGCGAGAAGTTTACCTTAAGAGACCAGATGGCTTTTTCCACACATCTCTGTCCCTATTGATCTGCGACTCCAGCGCAGTAACAGATTCTTGTCCAGACGCAGCCACGATTCATTTTCGAATTATTTTACCAACAAAGGCCAATACAGAGAATGTAATACACGAAGATCAGAGCAAGTACCAGTGTGCGAACATGTGTCCAGAGTGAGTCAAAATTGGGGGTGTGTACGTCTGTTCCCGACCTGCACACACAGAGAGGTCCCGGTGTTCCCCGTGATCATGTACCAACCAGCATTTGTTATTTTAGGCTTTAATTAACCAAATAATGTTATGGCAATAGCCTATTCAATTGATACAACTTCAAAAAGTCCCTGCTTTTAGCCTAATGTGAGAAATAGTCGGACTAGATCCAAACGAGAGTCCCGAACCAGCGGGAGCAGCTCCGATTCTGTCCGGGCTCAGAGGAGCTGGAGCGGGGAGCCTCGACCTGAGGAAGCGCTTTCCCCGGGAAGAACCAAATGCGCGGAGGACGGACGCTCAGAACAACATATAACAAACCAAACTGGACTCGCGCTTCTTTCCGGATGCTGCACCACCTCGGAACCAGCTGCGGTTCTTGAGCGCGGAGCACCAGAGCAGCCCACCCAGACCTGTAGTCCACAGCGCATTCTTGCTTTTCCTGCACGGAAACAGCGCGCAGACGACGGAACGTACCCGCTCGGACTCAGTCCATCAAGCACTGGTCTTGCTCGCCACCGTCTGGAACTAGCACATGGAGGATGGAGCCTCCGGACCATCTGACCAACGTGCTTGTAGGACGACAGAAGACCAAGGACCAGACCCCAGCCCCGTCCTGAGGAGCTGCGCGCTACTGTGAGCGCTGTTGGCTGCTGCTGTTACCCGAACTCTGGGCTGATGTGGTGAGTTTGTACAAAGTTCTACAAGTTGCTGTTTTATGAGTTCATGGTGATAAGATGTGATGAGGACGGCCCGTGGTATTAACAGGAACATCGGTGTTGATAACTGGAGGTATTGCTGTTTTCCCGGGAAACAGAGACACGTCAATCGAACCAGTTTTGGTTCGTTTGCCGGTGTGAAAGCGGACCACACTGGAGTGTATTTGCTACATAATAACAATTTTATTGCCTGGTGCGGACCAAATAATCGAACTAGCGGTGTGAAAACGCCCTAATGTGTTATTTTTAGTTATAACCGAACAAATATGAGTTATTGTGAATACGCTGACAATTTATCGATTTATCGGTGTCAGACAGTTTTTCGTTTTTTACGTGTTACATTAACTCTCAACTTTGTTCATTTGTAACGAGTAAATGCGTTAAATAAAGTTTGACTGATTTACCTAACTGTTGTGTTTCGTTTAACGCGCCTTATAGTCCGGTGCGGTTTATATGTGAAAAAAGTTCGGGAAAACGACAGTGCGTCTTATAACCCGGAGCACCTAATCACCTGGAAAATACGGTAATTTTTCAAAGTAAAGTCAATTGGAGCCGGAGTCGATGAAGCTCGAAATGCTCCTTTACAAATCAGTCTATAAAGTTTAACACATAACCCTGCATATTTAGGCTGTTCTTCTCTCACTGTGTTCCACCTTGTGATGTCATGTGGAAATACAGGAAGTGCTCCATTGTATTTTTAGACTTCACACACCTTCACCAGAATTATTTGGATTTTAATTTCAGCTCTGGAATCACCAATCTGTAATGAAGTAAAGGTAAAAGGAGCTGTTAACTTGAAAACTCACACTTCATGACATCACAAGGTAGAACAGAGCACTTTGAGCTTTTAGATGTAGACAGACTAATAATAAAGGGTTACTCAAATGTGTGAATGAAGCAAAACAAAACTCCAGGTCTGTTTTTGACAAGGTAACAACATTCTAACATGACTTAAAGCTCAAAAGAATCCATTTTGCATTATATAGGACCTTTAATGAAGTCACATAGCCCTTTTCTGTAGACGTGTACAGATTTGTTGTTGACCAGCTAAAAGCATCTATAAATAATATTGCAGACGTGTTACCTGTTGACCAGCTGGTCGAACAGCAGGCTCTGGTTGAGATGTTCAAACTGGCTCTTCCTCACTCTACAGCTCCTCTTCAGCTCAACATGGCCATTCATGTGAGAGTGCTCCCCCTTCACACGGTCACTGCTGCGGAGGCTCATGTGGGCTGAGAAGAAAATACATTTATTTATTGTCAAAAGTAAGATAATTTTTTTTTTTTTTTCAGGGGTGGGATGAAAATTTCCACAATATAATTCCTAATATATACATTTTGCAATTCAGTTTACAATTTTGGCCTCACTTTTTTATTTGATTTAATATTTTTGTTTCCATTCTAGCATTACTTTTTGGAACTGTAAGAGGAATATCTCACCAGCACATAACCCTTTTTTGTTCAATCCAAATGTACACAAAAAATCTCACAAGATTATTTTTCTCATGTGTGCATGATCCTGCGCGAAATCTTGTCCCATCACTAATGTTTCCACATTTAAAGATACAGTATGCAACTTTCTGTAGGGGGCACAACATTTGTTAGCCTGATTCATCAGCCGGTTTCCCTTTGTGGAAACCGTCTGATGAAGGCGGGTACTTTTTTTTCCATTTAATCAGTCGCTGCTATTTGGTCGTGACGTATGTAATGCGGGCTAACTGGTATATTAAGCTTTTCCCAAATCCCGTAGAAAGGACAATAACGTCTTTCCCCTTGATAAAATTCAACAAACATTCTCTTTGTTCCGGCTTTAAATCCTCGATCTTGGGAATCATTGCCAACAGTGAATATATGGCTCTTCGTTGATTGGCTGGTGCCCGAACTCACACTTCCATCTATTGTGTTATTCTGATTCCTGTCCTAGTCGCTGGAGAAAAATGAAATTGAGTGGAGGCACTAGGTGGCTCCATCCTGGCTAAACATTTGCATGATTCCTTGGAAATAGAAAGTCAAAATCACACTTTGGATCATTACTGTCAAAGTTTATAACCAAAGGATCAACATTTCCATGGAGACAAGGAGAAGCAGGCCCCCTCCAGGCCAAACACGAGTCAGGTTTATGGAGAAACAAGCCTGATCAGAATAAGGATGCATGTTTTTCTATGTAATTAAACAATTTTTTTGTGTATTTTTTGGTAAAAAAGTTACATACTGGGGCTTTAAGGAAACAAAAATAAAAAGTGATACAATAATAAATAGCTTTAAAATATATAAATGGCATTTCAATTGTTCATATATTAGTAGAAACCAGTGAGTTTAAATCAGACAAAATGACAAAATGTCTTACCGTGTCCATTTTGTACTCCATGAGATCTGTAAAAAAAAAAAAAAAGGACATTTTAAGAACACTTCACTTGCAAACAAAAGGTACATGAGAAAGCAGAGACTGAAAGCACCATGACCCTCAGACAACCACTTTAAGGACTTTACAGTGCATTATTTATTCACTCTATAGTCACTCACCCATTCACTCTTCATATGATGGTAAATACTACACTACCATGCATAGACAAGGAAACAGTGAAACAGCTGGGCCTGTCATGATAACAAATTCTGAAGTGCAATACACTGCTGAGGAAAATATACATACATTTTATCATTGAATAGATACACAAACTGTTTAGACTCATTATTGCCAGGCCAATTAAAATTATTTTCCCCAGATTATGTAATTCAAATTTTCTATAACTCAGTAACCTCAGATCTGATAACAGTTTAATTAAATTAAAAAGTGCAAATATCTATTACTGAAACATATTGATTCCACCAACAGGATTGTCCTCAAAATTTCTTCTAAATGTACAATATAGTTACGAAAAAATATTGGCAGTAAGAAATAAATGGCAGAATTAAATGCTTTAGTAGTTAGAATACATCTAGAATGAGTCATAGAAGATAGTTATTCAACCCTCTTCAGCTGAAAGAGAATAAAACCTCCCCACTAGTGCAAAGAAAAAGTAGCCATGATAAATAACCAAGCTCCTCACCATTGTGTACAAGTTCCTCTATAACCTGGCCCCCACTTACCCGTCATCTCCTGTTTATCTGTTTCTTTCAGACGTGTTTGTGGCTGTCCTGATCTATGTAAAGCGTGTCTGAGTGTCATGAAGCGCTATACAAGTGTTATGTATTATCATTATAAATACTGACCCCATAAAATGATCTTTCATATATTGAACCATTAGTCGATATAGTGATTGTCGTGACAAACCTAGAAATGCCATAAACACAGAGCACATTTGTTGCGGACTGACCTGGTGCCGTATTTGGGGATGCTCCAGCTGACCCTCTGGCCTTTGGTCAGAGGAGACGGAGACGTGTCACTGGAGCTGGGCTCCGAGGTCTGCCGCCGCTGCCTCTTCGATGGAGGAGAACGAGGGCTGCTGGGAGCGCTCATGTCACTACTGGGCTCCTTCTAGACAAAGAAAGAATGATTATTTCAACATTAAAATAAATAAAACAATAAAACCACATAACGTTTTATACCAAGAATTCAGTTTTGCATTTCCAGTGAGACAAAAACTTTCACCTTAGGTAACATTTTGCAGATAAAAATAAAAATAATAATAATAATAATGGCTCAGTATATTTCATTCTAAATTGTTAATCGCTATGGCAGAAGTAGAAAATTTTCAGCATTCTGAAACTTAAGAACCGCACTCGGGATTGAATGTCAAAGAAAAATGAAAAAAGTACAACAAAGAACAAAGAAGTAAACAAAAGACAACTGTTGGATCACTACTACACTACATTTAGCACACTACATTGTCAGAATACTAATGAATGCCAAGTTAAAGTTGCACTGCGTAGATTTTTCATAGAGTGTCCGTCACCAGCTTCTCTCCATGGAGATGTTGCCTGGAATGTTCCACGGTATGGCATTACACTTATTTATACCTACAGAGGCAGCAGGAGACGCCATAGGGCCAAGTTACAAACCCATGTTACTGACTAAATGGAGGACTTAAACAGTTAAAGCCATGCCGGAAAAGCAACAACATCTCCATGGAGACAAGAAGATCGTGGACGCTCCACAACAAAACTTACACGGTGCATTTCTAAGCATTTAAGTTTCACAATAGTTTTTCATTAGGCTGAAACTGAAAATTGTCCATGCTCCCGATCTCTACAGCAGCGTTTACTCACCCATAATCTTCAACATCACTTCACGTAAAAAAGAGACCAAGTAGAAACCTTTACAGAAATATTTCTACAGATTTTTTTAAGTACAAGCTTTTGATAAAAGATCACCAAATGCCACAGCCTTAACACTTGTGACACTTGTGACTAGACTAGACCACTTCTGTTTAGATTCCATATGTTCAGCAAAAAGTGAAGCAACATTAAAAAGAAAACACTTACATAAACATAAAAATGCAAACTGAATTTTTAAAAGAGCTCATATTACGCTTTCAGTGTTTCCTCATCGCAAACAGACCTGGAGTCTTTGTTCTTTCACACATGTTTAACTCACAAACCTGCAGATTTAGGCTCAGTTCTTCTCTCAAACAGAAAACACTTTGCTCCACCTTGTGATGTCATGTGGTAATACAGGAAGTGCTCCACTGTGTTTTTAAACTCCATACATCTTCACTAGAATCATTTGGATGATTTCAGATCTGGAATTGCCACTCTTTCCTGATCTAAAGGTGAAAGGAGCTGTTAACTTGAAAACTACCACTTCATGACATCACAAGGTGGAACAGGGCATTTTGAGCTTGGAAGACGTAGACAGACTAATAATACAGGGTCATTATTATAGGGCGCTCTGGATTATAAAACGCACTGTCATTGAATGGCCTATTTTCAAACTTTTTTCACAAATAAACCACACCAGACTTTAAAGGAAACACAACAGTGTGATGGGTGAGTGGTTTTGTTTGTTTGTGGCGTTCACGGTGACTCTGGGCTTTGTTCGGTTGTGGCGTGTAGGGAGGGTGCTGTCTGGGACCGCTGGATTGTCGGCGTGTTCGCAGTGACTCAGTTGTTCAGTTGTGTCTAGAAGTGGCACATTGCGCTCGCTATTTCGTTCCTCCGTTCCGTTCCTCGTCGGCGTGGCGTGATGAGTGTGTCTGTGGGTGTTTTTCGCTGTGTGGTCGCTGTCTGCTCCGTGTGTGTTTGCGTACGCTGCGGGTGGTGCGGCTTTGTAGTTTTCTGAAGTCATGCTGGGACACCCGAGTGGATTCGTGTATAGGACGCTCTGGATTGAGGGGCGCGCAGTAATTTTTTGATGCGGTTGGAAGCTTATGAGCGTGCCCTATAGTGCAGAAAATACAGTACTCAAACATGTGTGAATGAAACAAAACACAACTAGAATATGCTTTTAAGGAGGTAACAGCATTCTAACATGTCTTAAGGCTCACCAGAGTCCATATACACTACCAGTCAAAAGTTTAAGAACACCACACTTTTTCTATTTTTTTACTGTTTACTGTTGATCAAAACATATTCTAAACTTTTGATTGATGAAAGTGTCCACCTTTGGAAGATAGAACAGCTGAACACACTCGTGGCTTGTTCTTTTTACAATAGAAATCAAATATTCTTCAGAAAGTTCTTCCCAAAACTGTTGCAGAAGTTTCCATAAATGTGTGGCACTTGTAGGTTGGCATTTTGTTCTTTTTTTCCTGAGGTAGTTTTGGCAGAGCTTGGACTTGTGTTGTGTTATCTTTTATCTTTTTTTAACCTCTGTCTGTTCAGTTTTTACTTTTGTAACATTTCAAGCTCTTCATTGGACTTGAATTGAAATAAATAACTGGAAACATTAGGGTGTTCTAAAACTTTTGACCGGTACTTCAGGAACTTTAAGATCACTCGGACTAGAGGTTTCAAAAGTATCAAAAATCAATACTAAAACTAGTATAGAAACTAGATACGTATTTGAGCAGATATCGATACTACAAAAGTCACCTTCACAGGACAGAACTGACCCTTTCCTAAATGTCTCAAAAATACAATAATTCCTTGTGTGAACAGGTCTTACTCTTCACACATTCCACTTGTAATGTAGCGCAGTGCTGAAACCTGCTCATCTCAGGTTTAATCTATACTGTGGAACACTCTAGACAAAGCAATAATATTTCCATGGAGACAAGCAAGTGGCAGAACCCCCACTAGAAATGTTACGCAGTGCATCTTTACACTGAAAATCACATTCTGTTGTTAGTTATCATCATAATATGAGAATGAGTATTGAGTTTAGAGCCTGTATGAAGATCGAGTTTGAAATTTGAGCATCAGAACAATACTAAACTGAAATCATAATCTTAGCAACGTAGTGTAACAGCCCAAAATACCACCTAAACTTTTACAACATTTACCAAGAAACTCTCAACCGCGGCTACAGAGCTGAGGAAAAATCAATAGCGAGAAGACCTTGAGGATAGAGATCTAAAATTTCAGCGGAGAGAGAGGAGGCTCAGAGAGGAGACAGCTTGTGCCCAACTCCTCAGTGTGTTCTGTGAATCATAAGAGAACAGCGTCCAGACATCTGCCCTTGATGTCCATGCCCTTCGCTGCAAAACTTCACTTTGATAGAGGAACATATCTACTGCTGTCACGGGCTACTGTCAGTGTCTGGATAGGAGGGGTGTCTAGGGCCGAACTGACAGCATTGTTCAAAGTGCAAGATGTACCCATAAGTGCATTATTAAGTATGCGTTGCACCACACCAGCGTCTATGCCTTGGAGTCTGCAAGTTATACCAACAATGTTTCTTTTAAGGATGTAACAATAACGGAAATATTGTGATATCATATCGTCAAAGGTAGGGATTTAACGATATCAAAATCTCTTGATTCTATGGTTGTTCCGATACAGATAACAGCAAAAAGTCAGACACCGGAAAAATGTGCGGTATCAGTATCGGCGAGTACTCAGACCAAATTACCGATCCGATACCACTCATTTACATCCTCGGTGATCCATCTATGCATGCAGCTGTTGACGACGATCATAGCTACTGCGAACTCTCAAAGCAGGTTAAATACAGACTGTGGTGGATCTGCGACACTTAAAACACACTAATAATAATAGAAAAGACATTTGTGTAACCTCTGATACCTTCATTTAGCCTTTAGTGTGGACGCTCAACTTGGTAAAATAACTGGGAGAGTACAGCCCGATTACAGTGGCAACAACAACAGTAGCCCTGTTGTTATTGCCGCTCAGTTTGTTTAATTATTCTACATAATTAGCCATGTGCTCCAAGAATGAGAGTCTTTTTACAGGACTCACTGTTTCTTTTATTTGCACTTCTGTGACAGAAAGTGAAAGTGCTTAAATCTGCTTAAATAAGCATTACTTATCATCAAAATCATTATACATATCACTAATATTTTAGTCCTCAAAAATGTATTTATTCTTCCAATTCGTTTAAAATGGCCTTTAGAAGATGTATTTTTTGCTCTGGTATGTTACAAAATGAAGTATCCTAAGTGTACTTCTTCACACTATTGTATCAGTCTGGTATCGGTATCGGCGAGTACACAACAGCCAAGTTACACATCGGATCAGATCTTTAAAAAATACATTTATATAATACTATATAATTTATTTTTGCAGATTTTTTTTTAAAATAGCATTTTTGAAGATTTATTTTTTGCTGTTGTACTATAATAGAACTTCCCACTATGAAATATCGAACTGGTAATGGTATCGGCGACTGCACCAGTGTCAAGTATTGAATCAGATCGGACCCCCCCCTCCAAAAAAACTGTATCAGAACACTAATCGATACAGTATGATATTTTGTGTAGGCTAATAAAAGTGTGAATATGCTACATTTTTGTCATAATGAAAATAATTAAGATGTAAAAATGTTTAATAACTGTTCTGTCATCATGTAGATTGGACTGAAATGGCGCAAGAGAGAAACTAGTAATTCAATATATATTTTGACAGCCCAGATATTATTGTGAGAATTCTGGCCATATGAAGTCACGATATTTTGGTTGTTACATCCCTAGTCAAAGATCTCACAATAACATCATGGACCATTAAATTAGAGGTGGTTTTACATTTTGGAAATACCTCGAAAAACAGGCATTCTGACTGTGAGCGGGGTCGCCTCTCCATAGATCTGACTTGTACTGTAATTTGGTCTGGTTTGGTCTCCATGAAGATAGAAAGGTTTAATGCCATACTGTGAAACATTCCAGACAAAACACTAACATCTCCATGAAAAAAGCATTTGATGGACCCTCCACCAGAAAAGTTACACAATGCTCTTTGTGTTTCAGTCTGCTAAGTGTTGCAGCTCGTGATTTTTTTTTACAATATTGTAGATTTTGAATAATTTTTGTGGCTTAAATCTGCTCTTGGGTTTTTGTGTCAGAGGCATAAATTTGTTTCACCACTATCATTTATCATCTATATTTTCTTCAGCGATATATCACACTTCAAAGTTTATTATTGTACATGCCTACTTGATAGGGTGCACTATATTGACAGAATGAACTCCTCAGCTCAGACTCTCAATAACAATTGATACTTTGCAGTGACATCAAGCTCAGGGTGTTCTACATTTATATATATGGCTGAATGTTTATCAGTTACCATGGAGAAACAATGCATACATTAGCAAATACCACCAAAAATTTTAAGAGGTCTGAAAACTCAAAATGATTTACCACATTTTCAGGAGCCTGTGATTAATAAGGGCGTTCACGGTCCTGTTTAGGAGTTTTATTTTCAACAAAAAAGGTGAGAGTTACTAACTGAAAAACTGTTGGATAATGACTGTAATTTTTTGTGTGAATGGCTTATTTAAGGGCAAAAATCAGCTCACCTGCTGTAGTTCAGCTACGTCAGCTCTTTCTGGCCAGATTGTGTTAAAATTAAGATCAGATTAAAGTCTAATAGAGTTTCAGACAAAGCAGAACCTACAGTTAGCATTACACCCCAAAAAATGTTGATGACATCAGCTGCAAAGTATCAATATTCAGACAATATTTTTAAAAGGCATCAGGAATGTTTCATTCACACGTTTTTGACGAGGAAACATTATAACATGGATCAGAAACTAGAGTAATAAGCATGCGTCGCACCACACCAGATGTGTGGGGTGTACAGACGTGTCCAACAATTCTAGACATTTATGCTAAACATCCATGGGTTTCAGAATACCACGTAAAGTAACATTGTGTAACTTTCTGGAGGAGAACAGCTGCTTTACTCCATGGAAATACAATATTAAAACCATACTTTGAGATATTTGGAAATTGATAGGTTTTATCACAGAATATTATAGACAAAAAAAAAACATTTCTATACAAGCATGTGGAATAGTCTTAATTAATGATTATCAGTCAGGTCTGTGGAATGACAAGCACACTCACATTAAGGACGCACATTTGTCTATGTTTTTCAGAGGCATAAAGACAAAAGGCATACTTGCTGGTAGGGCTTTAACAGCTAAGAAACAAAATGTTCTATGCTTAGAATGGTGAAAAGTCCTCAAAATGTCGCCTAGTACACAAAGCTGAACCCATTTAAACACAAAAGAAATTGTTGAAGTAACATTACACATCACAAAGACAAAATGTGATCAATCAAAACGTGTCAGTAAAAAGCTGTTGTCATTTGCAATTTTGTGTAACATTGGTACATCTCGTCCCCAGTATTAGAAAGCTGAAATAAGCTTAGGCGTGTTCTCCAAAGCACAGCGCTCGCCTCGCGTAACCCCTCTGTTTACATTGACACACAAAGCATGTCACGGAGTTTATAGGTCAGCCTTACGACAAAACAGCCCGCAAAACAGAAAGGAACACCGCAAAACCACACTTAGTGCGCCGGTACATGAACCACGTGAGAGCCAATTGCGAGAATAATTGGATTATTTTGGCTTTTTGGCATTAGCTGAAGGAAGTTCACCAAGTTCAGACTTGTTAAATATGGGACATGAGCCAGCCAACTGTTGTGAACCTGGATCTCCCTTCCCCCACTGAGCTAGCATGGCTAGCCATCCCCCAGAAAGGCTAGCCCAACTAAAGCTTTATCGCAACAAATTTAACACAATGTATGGTCTAATTCGTATGTCCAAGACGGAGACATAACCCACTGTTAATTGTTCTCTTAAAAAGTGCAGTTGTCCTACCATGGAAAGCGCATTAGCCGAGACAATAGCAAAACAAGTGAGCCGGACAAAGGGAAGTGGAGTTGGGCTAGCGCAGGAGCAGCGGGGCTAGCTCACGCTCTGACAGCTCAGGATCGCGTCTGACGGAAGTGACAGCGGCGCCGATCGCTTATTTGAATAGCTTTTAAGTATAACTATGAGCCCATGTGGGTGTCAGTGCGATGCGATGAGTTTATTCGTGTGATATGTGCACTGTTTTGAGCCGCTTGAGGCCATGCAGCTAGCGCTACTTAGCCCACTAGCACTAGCTCACCGGTAAAGAAAAGAAACCGGCTTCTTACATGATCATCTTTCCTTCGGGACGACGAGCGAGTCCTGGAGGAGATGAAGGGGTCGCTCCTCGGCTGTGAGCTCCGTGTGTTCACCATGTTTTAGCCTTTATTCAGTCCTTTAAAATCTGTCCCTTACCGGCTCCAAACACTGGCTCAGAGAGCGCAGCATCGAGGCGCCATTTCTGTCTGTGTGTAGCCGCCTGTGTGTGTCTGCGAGCCCCACTCCCCCTGCGCCCTCCCTCCGCTCTCTGCTGGAACTACTCGGCTCTGTTTGGCAGGTGTAGCCATTTCTGCTGAGCGCACGCACAGCCCTAAAGGTGCATTGTGTAACTTTTCTACAGTGGTGGATGAAGTACTTCATTTTGTTACTTAAGTAAAAGTACAGAGACAAAAGATTACTCAAGTGAACGTATCACATGAAAAAATCTACATTAGTAAAACTATTGAAGTACCTGCTTAAAAAAAGTACTTTAACATATTTTTGAACAATTAAAGCATCAAATATAGTGAAATGTAGTGATAAAGAAATCTGATGATTTTAATTGATTCAATTGATTTTGTATTTTTTTTTAGGTGTTTGTGTGTGTGTGTGTGTGTGTGTGTGTGTGTGTGTGTGTGTGTGTGTGTGTGTGTGTGTGTGTGTGTGTGTGTGTGTGTGTGTGTGTGTGTGTGTGTGTGTGTGTGTGTGTGTGTGTGTGTTTATTTGTGTATTTGGTTTGCTCAAAGTTGGAATGTTTACTCAAATAAAAAAAATAATTAATACAAAAAATAAGTCAGGCCTGTGGAGTGCCAGTCCCACTCACAGTAAAGACACACGTTTTATCTATGTTTTTCTGCAGCATAAAAACATCCAAAAAAGCTACCTTATGTGTGTGTTTGTGTGTGTGTGTGTGTGTGTGTGTGCGTGTGCGTGTGCGTGTGCGTGTGCGTGTGTGTGGATCTGTACAACTGTACATGGAAAAACGTAGCTTATTTCGATGGGGCAGTGTGAATCGATAGATGTCACTGTCGATTTAGGCTGCGGGGAGCTCATTTCAATGGAGGAGCCCATTTCAACCGGACACCGATTTTCTTCATCTCGATGTCATTCGATGTATTCATTGTAGTGTTCTGTTATGTTCAGCAGATCAACAGTTACAACCAGCTGCCTGTAAGTAACACTGAAGATACGATTAGAGTCACGTCCTTTTGGCCAGAAGTCATCATCCGCATATTTCTAAATGTGTTCCAGTAAGTGTGAATAGAGCCTATTTTAACTCGCCATTTTTTATTTATTGTATCAGTGCTTTTTGGGACTACATTTTTTCAAAAAATGCAACTTGCCAGTACTGAACAGACCGAGACCCAGTAAAGATGTAATGGTATCAAAATCCTTCAACATGATATTTTCACGATATGCATCTCACAGTTCCATATTTATTGCAATATTTTGTAGCTTTTGCTTACAAAATTGTGAATATGCTACTTTTCCTTTTAAAAGCCTTGAAAAGCCTTTGGTACTGTTAAAATATGAAGGATTAAGATTGAAAAGTGCTTTAAAACAGTTATTTCTTCATGTAGTCTGCACAGACAACACCAAAGGATCATGGTCTGTGTAGTTCTGACTGTTACTGATACACCATGGCAGTTTATTTGTAGAGCACAATTTATACACAAAGTAAATCAAAGTGCTTTACAGAATAAGAAAGACATTAAAGTCACACAACTATTCATTTAAACAAAAAGAGTTGTAATTGATACATATTGTATATTGTGATGGTCCATGATATTAGTAAACTTAATTTAATTCATTACCATTGTAAATGTATCATTTGGATGCCCAACTTGGTGCACCGATAAATGGATAATGGTTTATGTTTTATAAGCATCTAACTATTTCCTATTTGAGGCTTGCCGTGGTTCTTATATTTACTCAGTTTCTTTGCAGCTGCTGAAACTGGTCGCTCTCTGGCATTTTTGTTTCATAAAGGTAGCTCACTGGAGAAAAAAGGTTTGAGACCCCTGCATTAAATCATTCCAGAGCTCTGGCTGTCAATAATCTCCATTTGAAAGTGTGAGCTAAGCCTCTCTACTGCAGCACCACGGACGACCAGTGGGTGGCAGCACCACGCCACCGTGCTCCTAGAGCGCGACGTCTAAAATCAGTCCAACGTGATTTAGGATGTTTTTAATGTGACCATTTTGTTAGTGCTATAACCTGAGGTCTCAGGCTAAAAGATCCAAACAAAACAAGAACTGAAACAACAGTTAAACAACTGTTTGTTTATGTTCAAAGTAGTTCTGAACTAAATTAGCAACACTAATTTGAACTAACGGACAGAACGCTTTTTACAAACCGCTAACAAACACCTCCGGTAACGGAAGCACCGCCGGTAACGGAAGCAGTAACCGTAGAGCAGAGCTGTGGCACACCGGCAAACCAAGTTAACATGTCCACAGGGTGGAGAGGTTTTCTGGAGGAGAGGTTGGGTGCTGGTGCGGAGGACATATGTGCGCTGTTGGAGAGCACCATAGCGGACTTTGAGGAGGAGCTGCGCCGCTCCAAACACGAGAACCAGCGGCTCCAGCGGCTCCTGAACTCGGCTCTGAGGGTCCTGAGCCCGAGAGTCGTGCTCGTCAGAACCGGTAAGTCTTCTGGAAGTCTTAAAAAAAGTATGAAAAATGCATATGGTGTAGAAAAGAGCTCGTTAGAAACGTGCGCCGTGGCTCTAACGGCAGAATAACTTGTATGACTCCAAATCACTTCAGATATTGACTCTAACGTATTTACAACTTCATGGACAGAAAAGACACCCCATCAGCCCTTAAAGTAGACTACTGACAGGTTCACAGAGTGTTCTTTTCACAAGACTGCACGTGTATTTGCCAGTGTGTTTTCTCTTGTCTCCTGCAGCTGTCCAGCTCCCCTCTCTGAGTCCTGGTCTGACTCCACACATTAAAGAAGAACCCAGCATCAAACAGGAGAAAGATCAGCTGCAACTGTGAGTCCCAGACACCAGACATTCATTCGTATTAATTGTATTACAAATATTCAGATTGGTTTTGAAATATGCAAATATATCTTCTATTTTTCAGGTCTGTCCGTGAAGTGTGGTCACTGTCTGCGAGCGTGAAGACAGAAGAGTCCTCACTGCTTCAACAAAGACAAACTGAGCAGAGAGAAGACACACAGGTAGAGGACATCAGAGCAGAGACACATATCCACTCAGAGACTGAGGGAGACACAGAGCACTCTTCTGACACTGACAGTGATGAAGACTGGAGACCTCCACTCAGCTGTTCACCTGCACACATCGACACAGGGGCTGATGGAGACAAATCTGCACCAGAGACCAGAGCCACTGTGAACAATGGAAACATGTCAGGAACTGGCGAAGGAGCTGAGGGCAGGAAACACATGTGCTCTGTTTGTAAAGCAAGATTTGGCTCTAAATATAAACTAAAAAAACACAGGAGAGTTCACACAGGAGAAGAATTCAGGTGTTCAGTCTGTAAGAAAATGTTTGCTATAAGCTCTTATCTCAAAACACATATGAGGACACACACGGGGGAGAAACCATTCAGCTGTTTGGTCTGTAAGAAAGCGTTTGCTGTAAGATGTTCTCTCAAAACACATATGTGGACACACACGGGGGAGAAACCATTCAGCTGTTTGGTCTGTAAGAAAGCGTTTGCTGTAAGATGTTCTCTCAAAACACATATGAGGACACACACGGGGAAGAAATCATTCAGCTGTTTGGTCTGTAAGAAAGTGTTTGCTCAAAGCAATCATCTCAAAACACATATGAGGATACACACAGGGGAGAAACCATTCAGCTGTTCAGTCTGTAAGAAAGTGTTTGCTCAAAGCAATCATCTCAAAACGCATATGAGGATACACACACGGGAGAAACCATTCAGCTGTTCAGTTTGTAAGAAAGTGTTTGCTGTAAAATGTCATCTTAAAATACATATGAGGACACACACGGGGGAGAAACCATTCAGCTGTTCAGTCTGTAAGAAAGTGTTTGCTGTAAAATATCATCTTAAAATACATATGAGGACACACACGGGGGAGAAACCATTCAGCTGTTCAGTCTGTAAGAAAGTGTTTGCTCAAAGCAATCATCTCAAAACACATATGAGGATACACACAGGGGAGAAACCATTCAGCTGTTCAGTTTGTAAGAAAGTGTTTGCTCAAAGCAATCATCTCAAAATACATATGAGGACACACACGGGGGAGAAACCATTCAGCTGTTTGGTCTGTAAGAAAGTGTTTGCTGTAAAATGTGATCTTAAAACACATATGAGGATCCACACAGGGGAGAAACCATTCAGCTGTTCAGTCTGTAAGAAAGTGTTTGTTAAAAGCTCTCATCTCAAAACACATATGAGGATCCACACAGGGGAGAAACCATTCAGCTGTTCAGTCTGAAAGTGTTTGTGTAAAATGTAATCTCAAGAGACATATGAGCACACACCATAGAGTGTATATATAAATGGACATAACTAACTCTCTAGCCGCCACGTTCTAAATAGGAAGTTCAAGTGCACATACTGACCCTGGTTTCTATTGATTTACATTGGAAGATTGGATTTTGGTGTTTTTTATGGTGTTTTGTATGTTTTTAAAAAAAAAAATCCCAGTCTATGGGACACACACAGGAGGATTCAGCTGTTAGAAAATGATGCAAGGAAGCATCATCTCACTTCACAAGACAGAAGACAGAGAGAGAGAGAGAGAGAGAGAGAGAGAGAGAGAGCTTACAGCTGATCAGCCTGTAAGAACATGTTTTATGTCAGGAGTTCTCTGCATATAGAAGGACACAAAAAATCTATTCATCTGTACACCTTTTTCTTTTTGCTAGTGAGGAATTTGGTATTTTTCTGTACTATGATCAGATTTGAGCTGTGGAGGATTGAATACATCACTTCTATGGCTCATTTTAGATACAAACTAACTACTAAAGTAATTAATTCTCCTTTTTATTTACTGTATTGCAGTTTGTGTTTTTGTAAATTTATTGTACATTTACAATCGTTTTAGGGATAAACCTGCTGTTGTGTCAGTGGCACAAATTGGTTTCAGTCTTGTCATTTATTGTCTGTATTTTCTTGTGTAATCTGGACAGGCTTATTCATTTGTTCAGCCTGTTAGGACGGTTTTATGTGTACATGTATATTCTCTGTTACAAAATCACATTTGTTGAATGAGTTTATTTTTTACTTTTTGTCCCAATTTGATTCTGTTTTATCTTTGAATCTGAATATATGTCAATAGAATCTGTATGTATGTATAACAACTAATAAACCTAATCAGTTCACCGGTGATATCTTCTCTACAACATTACCGAGCGCACCCACACAGAGAGAGCACGGTTGTCTAAAAACAGCTGCTAAAAGGAAACGTGTCAAGTTAGATTCTACATAATGCAGATCAACATTAGGCCCTATTGGTGTTATATGTTAGTAGTTAAAAAAAAAAAAATAAGAGTAAAAGTTTTCTGTATTGTTACTCACAAGAAAAAATTCAGTGTATGATATTGAATATTATAGTAGTATTAGTAATAGTCTAGTCTAGTATAATATAGTATTGCTGGGTTTCAGATGACATCCCAGTTTTTTATATGTAAGTATTAATTAATACAGATGGAGAGCAGTTAAAACGAATATTGTCAAAATGCAAAATGATCTTGTAATACTGTAATTTCTTGGGTTTAGTCAATAATTGGAAATACCAGGGTCAGTATTTGTGACTTTACCTTTTGGATATTTTAAGGCAAAGTACAAGGTAATCAGTATGGAAATCTGTCCCTGTCTGAGAGTATGACCTCATCTCATTATAGAATCTGAAAACTACCAACAGAGACAGTATCGTAATAGTGTTTCCATGCTATTCTTTCCTGCACCACCAGAGGGACGCCACTGCACTTTGAGAGAAGCAATGCCTGCAGGCCCCAGCGCCTTGTGGCCTGGACAACTAGATAACAGTTTATTGTTTTATAGGCATTTATAACTATACCCCATCTAATGCTTGTCATGGCTAAAAATGAGTAGCTCTCAGGATTTCTGTTGTGCTAACATGGCTCACCCAAGGAAAAAGGTTGGAGACCCCTGGCTTAGAATGTTCCACAATGTGATATTAAACAGCTCTACTTTACATATATTCAATTACAGGTGGTTTTATAGCTCAAAAATTCCTAGAAAAACAGACATTCTGAGTGTGAGCAGGGTCGCCTCTCCACAGATCTGACCTATAACTTGGTCTGGTTTGGTCTCCATGAAAATAGAAATGTTTAATGTTATAGTGTGAAACATCTCCATGAAGAAAAGCAGGTGGCTGACCCTCTACCAAAAAAGTTACACAATGCACCTTTAAAGGTTTTGTGCAATTCTGTTCAGTGCAAGGGGCATTTAAGAGGCTTTTTAAAAAAGAGTTAGGGTTAGAACTCATATTCCACAAGAAATAGAAATGTAAACATATTTCAAACTAGTTTCAGGATTAGTAGGATTAATGGTTAGAACCAGGGAGATAAACCAGTCCCAATCTGGTCCACATTTAAACCAGTCCAGACCAAACCAATCACCAAACAAAAACTTAAGGCTGTCAGTTTTCAGACTTCATTTGAATCCTAAATAGAAATAAACACACCCTCACCAAACAATATTTAAAGGTCCACTTCAAACCCTTGCAACCTGTGAGGATTATGGTTTGAAAATTCAAATCTGGTCCTCATTTAGACCAGCCCAGCCCAAGTGAGACAGCAGAATCCATAAAAGTGTGCTAATGTTTAGAATCTGGCCCACATTTGGATCAGTTTAAGTCAAAAACTAAAGCTTGTAGACAGTTAGAATTATTATTAATACTTATTTTAAAATGATGATAAACCTGTATACCTGGAATAAAGGTGCATTGTGCAACTTTTCTGGTGGAGGGTCCATCAGATGCTTTTCTCCATGGAGATGTTGTTTCACAGTATGACATTAAACCTTTCTATCTTCACGGAGACCAAACCAGACCAAGTTACAGGTCAGATCTGTGGAGAGGCGACCCCGCTCACTGTCAGAATGTCTGTTTTTCCAGGCATTTTTGAAGCTATAAAACCACCTGTAATGGAATGTCACGACCCGGGTGGATCAAACATATTAAAGAGGGTATAGGAGGCAAAAAGGTTACAAAAGTAAAAATTGTTTTTATTTTTAAGTTAATTTTACTTTACTTTAAAAAATACTAAAACCCCTCCCGTGCCCAAAAACAAAGTATCAACTGAAAGGTGGAACTGGGGACCCGGCCAAACAGAACAAAATGAGGCAGAGCTGTTTAATGTCAAACTGTGGAACATTCCAGGCAGAGCAATGACATATCCATGGAAACGAGCAGTTGACGAACCTCCACCCAAAATGTTACATACTGCAAGGACAGACCCCCCCCACACACACACACACACAAAAGCTCCAGAACCCAAACCTCAACTCTTGGTCCAAAATCCAAGACTGTGAGAACAATCAAAGCATGTATGTCTATGATTATTATACCATGTTTAAAGGTGCACTATGTAACTTTTTGGTTTTGGGGTCCGTCACCTGCTTGTTTCTATGGATATGTCATTGCTCTGCCTGGAATGTTCCACACCAGGAGTCTCCAAACTTCCAAATGGCTCACCAAGAGATTTCTGAATTATATGTATTGTACTGTATAAGTAAAATTGTATTACTTAAATGCCTATTACCATTGTGCATGTATAATTTTCATGCCTAAATTTGTGCACTACTAAATGGATAAAGGTTTATGTTTTATAAGCATCTACTCTAACTGTACCTCATCTAAGACCGTGGCTTTTATATTTACTCAGTTTCTTGCAACCGCTAAAAGGTCTCTGGTATTTTCATTTTGTAAAGGCAGCTCACCGGAGAAAAATGCTTGGAGACCCCTGTTCCACATGCAGTGTTGGGGAGTAACAGATTACATGTACCGGAGTTACGTAATCAGAGTACAAATTATGAGTAACTGTATTCAGTTACAGTTACTGTTTCAATGAGTGGTAATTGGATTACAGTTACTTTGCTGAAGTAAATGGATTACACAGCAGTATTTATATTTATTTGGGCTAAACCAGGACTAAACCAGGACTGAACCAGAACTAAACCAGGACTGAACCAGGACTAAACCAGGACTGAACCAGGACTAAACCAGGACTGAACCAGGACTAAAGCAGGGCTAAACCAGGACTAAACCAGGTCTAAACCAGGACTAAACCAGGTCTAAACCAGGACTAAACCAAGACTAAACCAGGACTAAACCAGGTCTAAACCAGGTCTAAACCAGGACTAATTCAGGGCTAAACCAGGACTAAACCAGGACTGAACCAGGACTAAATCAGTTCTAAACCAGTTGTTAACCAGATCTAAACCAGGTCTAAACCAGGTCTAAACCAGGACTAAAAGCAGGACTAAACAGGATTAAACCAGTTCTAAATCAGGTCTAAACCAGGACTAAATCAGGAACTAAACCAGATCTAAACAAGGACTAAACCAGATTTAAACCAGGTCTAAACCAGGACTAAACTAGGTCTAAACCAGGTCTAAACAGGACTTAACTAGGTCTAAACCAGGACTACATCAGGACTAAACCAGGTCTAAACAATATGACACTAACAGTAGGTGGGCATACTTTAAGGCAGCAGTGATTTCATATAAAAATCATTTCTCTATCAATAATATTTTTAATATGGTTAAGGAAAGACTGGACTTTTATTGTCTTTTAGCAGACAAAACTTTTCATGTTAAGATCGTCTTTTCTACAGCAAACAAAAGTCTGTTCATGGAGACTTGGGCTCAACAGCCAATTTGAAGAGAACAAACATGAATTTTCAGGATGTGGTTGTTACATTCATGTAGTTTTAAAAAGCATGACAATATCAAGAAATCCAAAGTATTCAGATTACGTTACTCACTTTAAGTAATTTAATGGATTACGTTACAAACTACATTTTGGGCTATGTAATCTGTAATTTGTAGGGGAATACATTTTAAAAGTAACCTTCCCAACACTGTCCACATGACATTATACAGCTCTACCTTACATTTATTAAATTATAGTTGGTTTTATAGCTCAAAAATGCCTAGAAAAACAGACATTCTGACTGTGAGCGGGGTCACCTCTCCACAGATCTGACCTGTAACTTGGTCTGGTTTGGTCTCCATGATGAGAGTATTGCTTAAAGGTTGTATGGAGGATTTATTTTTAATTTCAAATTGTCAGTGAAAGCTCAAAATAGCATTAAAGAGATGCAGCTGCCTTGTAATTAGGATGACAAAAATTATGATGAAAAAAAAAAAAAGAAAAGAAAATCCATCAGCTGTGGACGTGGTGGGGCCAGATAAACATCAGCCAATAGATAACGAGGCTATCTTGTTATCTATTGACTGTTAGGTTGTTGATCAAACTCCCTATGTTTCTAGTGTAACTGACTTTCTGGAGCACTGGGATGATGTGCTTTACATTCGCCTTTCACGGATTCCACACATGCAAGACGCAGTTTACTTGACAAACGCAGCGGTTCTTTGTGGCTTTTTTGAACTGTAGCTTCCTCACAGTTTGAGCAAAGTGATCAACGACCAGTTCACTGCAAACGAAAGTCAAATTTTGAGGTCACTGAAAGAAGAAGAGACGGGGAAAAGGAGCGAAGCCAAACTAAGGTGATTGTTGGAGATTTCTTCAAGCGATGGCACGACTGAAGCAGACGAAGGGTCTAAAGACCGACACCTTAGTTGCTAAATGACTCCTCGACAGGAAACTTCAACAGCGATTCTGAACGCGGGAGGAGGCGCTTCTACTTAGGGAGCTGTGGAGGGGGTTTGTGTCACGCGTGTGCAACATTTGAAAAAGGACAAATAGACACTGCATTTCTCTATACAACCTTTAATGTCATACTGTGAAACTTTCCAGACAAACCAAAAACATCTCCATGGAGAAAAGCATTGGACCGACCCTCCACCAGAAAAGTTACACAATGCACTTTTAACATGATCAGCTTTCAGCATGTGTCCCTGCATTTGGTTCCATCTTGTACCACTCTTTTGGCCTGGATTGTTTTGTCTTTTCCCTTCCCTTGGTTTAAAACTTGTGTTGAACAAGTGTTAAAACTTGAATGTCTCCTGAATGATCAAAAGCTGAAGTTCTTTTAATTGGTCTAAGTTGAGGATCCTTGGCACACTTTGTCAAACCCACTGTCACAAACCCGGGCGTGAAAATTGATAAAGACTTTAAACGTGACAAACAAATGAATTTGAATTTGAATGTATTTGTCTCACCATCTCATTT